AAGTATGCTCCAGGACTGTCTGTCCCTCTGCAGAACGCGCTCTCCCCTGGCTGGCCCGACAGACAGACGCTGCCTGCTCCATTCCCCGTTGCCTTGCTGTGCATTGCTGAATATTGATCCCCAGAGCTCCCTGCCCTGCTCCCGGCCCTGCAGAGTCGCAGAGCTGGGCTCCTGGGGAGGCACACACGCTCCCATAGCCCCTGCTGCCTGCTGGGGGATGTCCTCGCTCTCCCACACACACGGAGCCTGCCTCGCTCCCTTCTGCGGAGCTAATTGCCACACGTCTGTCTTTAAAATAGTCTAATGTCATAATTATCCTCATCTTCTTCCTTCCTGCTACAGGCAATTGCTGCAGTGTTTCAGAAGTTTTTGAAAAAAAAAATTTAAAAAAACCCCAAGCAAAACCCTGTCAGAACTTGTCTGGGGAGAGAACTTGTACCACTCCCAAGGCTGGGCCATACCACTTAAGGACAGCAGAAACTTTTATTTCACTTCAGCTGCACACTCAGGTTTAACTAGCTGTCATTCCTGGTTTTGCAAAGCCCAGCCTTATCCACACATACTACAGTTTAGCTGTATCTATCCTCAGCTCACATTGTCTCTGGTTCTCCGTGACATTTTTCCACCACAGGTGTAGGGAACGTTTTTGCTTGTGCTTGGTACCAGCCCTACCAAAAAGGAAAACAGAAAAAAAAAGAGAGGAAAAAAAAAAGAAAAATGTTCTCAATCACTCCATCTCACCTGCTGATCCAGGTGGGCAGCATGGGCCATGGCAGCAGAGAAGGGCTCCCTACATCACGTTGCTGACAGTCCCAGAAAAAGGGATTCTGAAGGGTTAAACCATCCTGACTTTACTGGCCTGAGCCCCATCACATTGTTCTCTCAATCCCATTCCCATGCCACTGCAGGTGCCCTGCAGGTGCCCTTGGCTGTCTCAGGAGCTGCCAGAGCAGATCCCTGGTTTGCTGCTGGCAGTTCCAGGTGCCACCTCAGTGACAGGACGAGCACAGAGCCCAGCCTGGCACACCACAGCAGTGGGGACAGGTTCATAGGCTCTCCTCCTGCTTCCCCAAATATTGCCTTTTCCCTCCAGGAAATCTGGAACCACAGAGTGGCATCTGTCAAGCCGTAGGCACTTGAGAGTAAGCACCCATCAGAATAACTTACTGTCAAAACCAGGTACAAATTCATTTCATCCCACTTGCTGCCATATGCTGCTGTCAAAACTCCATGAACTGTTTAGGCAGCATGTTGGGACATTGTGACTAACTCTGAGCAGAGCTATTTTTTCTGTGGCTCGGTGTCCCTGTTTGTCATTGGGTATTCCCTGGGCACAGCAGGCTCAGGGGGAACCCAGCCTGGGCAGTTTCAAACCCCTGCCCATCATCCTGCCCATCGTGCTGCCCTCTGCCCTGGCCACTCTGCTCAGGACCAGCTCCTCTCTGCTCTGACACAGGGTTTGAATGGTGGGGTGATTTCTGCTCTGTGCTTTGATGAAATTCTTCAATCCTAGAGCAGCCTGCTAAGCTGAGTCCAAATCTCATTTTCTACTGCTGGAGCCCAGGTGTTTTGCTCTCCTGGCAGGAAGGTTGGCCAGCACGCCCTTTGCTGCAAGAAGTGGGAAACAGACCACAGGATAGGTAAAGAACACATTTGCTGTTTTATTGGTGCCTTGCAGGGCAGTAATACTGAAAAAGGGGAATGCAAAAGAAACAAAAAACCCAAAAACCAAAACCAAAAACCCAGGATGGTGGCGATCCACATCGTATTTTTTTTAAAGAGTACATCAACTCCTGTTTTTTTTCATTTATTGTGGCATGAATGATAACATAAAACCAAAACATGAAAATATACAACTTATATTACACTATGTGTTATGAACAAAATATAAATCTATAACTCTATGTTATATTTACATAATTATTTCTTTTATTAAATTTCAAGTGAGATGGTAGGTTGCACATACTTTGTTTTAAGCTCCAGGCATTTGATTGTCTCTATTTCTTTTCTATTTTCATTTCACTTGTAAAATCCAAAACGTTAGAAGGAGTAAGAGCTTTAGAGCCAATGGAGCTATATAAATACTGTTTCAGCAAACCAGTGACAAAAAACACTGGGGAGTAGAGAAATCAGTCAGTAGAAAAAACGAACTTGACACGTTCTTCAATCTGGGAAACTGACAAGTTAAGATAAAGTCGAAAAAAATGTAAATATAAACCGAGCTAAACAGACAGCCCATGCCCTGTGAATTGAGGATACACCGAGTGAACGGCAGAGTTCTCTGCAGGATGGAGGGGATGGTTCTACCAGCAGTGGCCACCAAAGGGTTCCTGTGCCCCACACCTGCCCCACGCCGCCTCTCGGGCAGCACGCGGCTCCCTGCTCAGGCCCACGGAGCGTCACTGCTTCTGATGCTACAAACGTGGTGGCAGAGCCTTCTGCGGGGACAATAACAGCTCATCTCTTTGGATTAAAAAGAAAAAGCTCTGAAAATGTGCTGTAAAAAGGTTAAAGACAATTTACTTTCTAAAAAATGATTTAATTAAAGGCAGTCTGCTGCAGTAACCAAATCTTTGAAATAATGTCTTCGAAGAAAGAATTTCTTCCATACGCATTCATAATAAGAGGATTTGGTTACAAAACTAATTAAATGCTATAATAATAGCTAGTGTTCTTTTCTGGGGGCCTGATTAATACAGCGGAACGGTTAGATAAAGATGTTAAATGCACTTAAAAATCCTATTTTACTAATATAAGGCATGAATAAATGGAAAAAAGGATATACTCTGTGTTATTTAATTGAGCTTAGAAGCAAGTGCCTCAGTTTTTCCCTTTCTTTTCCCTTTTCCCCACTGCTGGAGATGCTGTTTCTCAAGCTCCCAGGGTGCATGGTGGCTTCCCCCATCCAGGAGGAGGTGCCTGATCCCCTCCTGCCTCTCCAGCTCCCAGGGAACAGCGGAACAGAGCCCACCCTGGCATCAGGGCCTCCGTGAGCTTCTAGGTTAATAAATCCTCATCTCCTCTAACCTGGTTTTTCTATGTGCTCCAGGGCACAGAGCCCAGGAAAAAAAAAAGAAAGAAGACAACACAATTTTTATAAATGCATATTTTGCTTTTTTGTTTTTTAGCGTTTTTTTTTTCCCCCAGAAAAGTCAAGAGGGACAGACAGAACCCTATTTTCAAATCTGATCTTCTACTGCTGAAGGACATGTGGGTGCTCATCCTTGGACCTCAGAAAACATTAGCACGGGCACAAAAAAGCATTTTGCTGGTTTGGAACCCCAGAGCCATTTCCGAAAAATCTATGTCTTCATCTTTTGGCCTCTTTTTTTTTTTTTTTTTTTTTTTTTTTTTACTTTTTACCATTTTTCTGCATCGTTTTCAACATCCCAAAGGTGGAGGAGGGGGACAGTCTGCTACAGCCCCAGGGAAGGGCAGGCTGGGCACAGCCTCTCCAAGGGAACGTGCATGGAATTGCCAGCCCTGGCTGGGGCAGCTGGGAGAGATGGGGAGGGCTTTGTGTGACACCACTGTGCCAGGGACACCAGGCTGGGCACACCAGGCTGGGCACAGCTGGCACTGCCCACCCCTGGTGCCCCCAGCAGCCTCTCCCAGGGCATCCAGGGCTGCAGCTTGGTCCCACTGAAGCCCAGGGACCCCTTCCCACCGAGCCCTTGCTCGCTCCAAGCCCCCCTGGCACCTACCTGGAGCTAAAACAAAGTGGCCCACAGTGACACAGTTAAACCAGAGAGTCTCTCAGCTCAGCTGTGGTGGAAATCAAGCATCCAGCAAATGTGTGGTGAACCCACGAGAGTCAGGAGTCATTTGTTCACAAAGACAGGGAACAAATTTGAAAGTTTAAAAAAAAGAAAATAAAAAGAAGCAATTATCTGTTTTCACATTGTACATAGTAATGATATAAAAACAATTGTCTATTTTTTTTTCTTCCTTCTTATCCAAGCAGAGTGCTTCAAAAAAATTGGCTCTTGATGACTGGTGTAATTAAATAACTAAAATGAGTGATGAGAGAGCAGAAGTTAATTAAGATTGAAAACAACACTCCCATTAATTCACTCCATCATAATAAACATCAGAAGTTGACATGGCTGGGGCCAAAATTAAAATAAAAGAAAGAGAAATGGTGTGAGCAGAAGAAGAAGCGATTTGTTTTCATATGTATATATATATATATTTATATATATATAAAAAGGTAAGGTGGGGAGGGGTATCCGTTTTAAATAGCCTAACAGCTTCATTTGCTGCACTGCCAAATTAGAACAGAATAAAATAAAGTTAAAAAAGGGGGGGGTGTAAATAAATTATACATAATTTACTAATCTGGGAACAGCTGACCATTATTATTATTATTATAATTACCATTCAACACTAGCAAGAAGAGGCAGTTCAACTGAAAAAAAAAACCCCAACACAGTCATAAAATACAAACAAAAAAGAACCCTCTCTGACACGGAGGATATGATCAGCTACTCCAAGCATAATTTCAGAGCAAATCTTCTGAGAGAGAGAAAACAGAAAAGAATTTTTCAAAGTAGAGGTGGAAATCAAAACGGGGAAAACAGAGAAAAAGAAAAGAGATGTAGCAGGGTGCAACTGTCACATGCCCAAACATGGGAGTATTGTCCTAAGTGTTCAATGGCATTTGCTTTTTGCTTTGCACAGGTCTGCAGAGGTCAGGTTACACTTCAAGTGGGATTGCAGAGGCCAAGAAAGGCATCCCCCCTCCTGCCTGTCCTGTTCATGGTCCTGCGCCTGGCACCAAGGGCTGGATTTGCCTGATTGAGGGGCTGATTGCAAAGCCAGGGCTGCCCAGCAGTGCTGACAGGGCTCTGTGGGTGCCTGGGCTGGGATCTCAGTGCCCCTGAGCGGAGTGGGGCTGACTGTACGGGCGAGAGGGGACAACAACAGCACTGCAGCTCCCTCTGGGACAGGGATTTACTGGGAGGCAGCACAGGGCTGCCATCCTCCGCTGAAGAAACAATTCAGAGGAGGGTTTGCCCCAGCACGATGCCAAGACCTCCCAGAGCAGCTCCCAGGCCCCTTCCTCGCGCTGCGGCTGCCCAAGGAGGGCAGAGCTGCCCAAGCCATGGCAGTGCTCCACAACAAGAATGGGAATAGTTCAGCACAGAGAATGATTTCTGAGCTGTGAGAGGCAGCAGTGAGGGAAACTCAGCACTGCACCGAGTTCCTGTAACCCGATCTGCAATTTGGAAATCTCCTCACAGCCATCAGCCTTCCTTCCCACACAAACATCCCAATGGTAAAAGAGGAATTTCTGCCAGTGCACAGGAGAAAAAGAAGTCAGTGAATAAAAAAATTGCCTTTTGAATCAGAAATCAGCACTCAGCCAACCTGAAGGGACGAGTTCATCAGAACTGGGCCCAGGTCATGGTAACTAAATTATGCTCAGCACTTGGTAACATTTCCAGTGTCCCATGCAGAACAAACCGCATTTTGGACAAGCCTTTTATGTTGTTTATGCTGCCACTTGAAGTGCAAACGTAAAGTAAAGGTTTCTTACAGACCAAGTCCCTTGGAGGCTGCAGGACTTCATTCTGGAGCATGCTTTTTGCTCATGATAGTCCAAGATTATTCTTATTAGTACCATAAACACGCACACATGAAAATCCAAGACCATAAAATATTTTTTCTCTAAATTTCTTATGTCTCTCTCTTTTTTTTTTCACCTGAGAACAGCACCTACAGTTTCCTTTAAAAAGCAAAAGCAAAAGCAAAAGCAAAACCAAAAACATATGTCTAATCTCACCAGCTGCTGGTATATCAGGTTCTTCAAGGGATTGTCTAAGATATAACACTGTCCTAACTTCAGACAGAGCAAGAAGCAAATGAAAAGCCAAAGAAAAACAAAACAAGAAGAGACCAACCTAAAAAAAGCAAACTGAACTAGTTCAGCGCTTTAGTACAAATTTGGCACTTGCTCAAAGACTCAGTATGGTGTGCAACTGATGAAGAGAAGTCCTCTCTTGAAAGGAAATGCTTGTTGGGGTTAACAGAAAGACTCCCCACTTCCTTCCTTGCCAGCCACGCGCACAGGCACGCACACACACACACTTCTGACCCAGATTTGACAGGGAGGAGGAGGAGGAAGAAGAGGAGGAGGAGGAGGAGGAGGAGGAGGAGACAGAGGGGGTTAAAAGGAATTTTATCTTTTTTTTTTCCTGTCAGGTGCATTACCAAAAAAAAAAAAATTATTTCTCTTTAAACTGTAGCACAAAACAACAAAACACATTCACAAGCCACTTGTTGGCACTGTGTACCTGAGTGAGAATTTCTAGAACATTGTAGAACAAACAGCCATAAAGTTTATTTGAAAAAAAAAATAATAATAATAAAAGGTCAACGGGTAAGACTTCAGTGCTTGGGTATAGCAGCTGAATTACTGGCATTATTTTACCCATAGCTTATATCATTCTGTTGTTGTCGTCGTCGTCTTCGTTTCCTTTCTTCTGAGCCTTTTTTCCTCTGGTGCAGGCTGATGTCTATTAGTCAGCTGATGTCCCAACTAGTTAAGACTAACAGTTAAAGTAACAGTCAGTGTATGAGAAAGTTAATGTGCTTGGCCACTGGCAAGGATAAACCAGACGGGGCTTTATTGATTGATCCGTTTCCGTTCCTCCTTGGAGTCCCGCGGGCGAGCGGCGGCCCCGATCAGTTGGCCTGGCCCGCCATGTGGTTTTCACTGTCACTGCCATAGTCTGCATCGGGGTCCTCCTCCTCCTCGTCGTAGTCGTCGTAGACGTCGCCGTTGGCCTCGTCGGGCTGCAGCTCCTCCTTGACGAGCGGCTCATCGCCCTTGGGCCCGTAGGCGCCGGGCAGCGCGGGCAGGCCGGGCTCGGGGCTGCTGGACACGCTCGAGTGCTCCGAAGGCAGGTGCGGCGAGGGCATGCCCGCCATGGCGATGGCTCCCGGGTACACCACGCCCGCCGTGGCCAGCGGCAGCTGCGCCTGTTGCCTGCCGGGACAGAGAGCGTTGTTATGGGATGGGAAACGGAACAACCTGGACACGCGACTTTCTACGGTAAAACAGAGGGAACTTGAATTTCTGATTCCAGTATTCGTGAATTTCCAAAAGTGACAGTACATTAAAAAATTACACCTCTCCAATGACACAACAGTGGCAGCTGCGCCTGTTGCCTGCCGGGAGAGAGAGATGTGAGGGGATGGAAAATAGAAGTACGCGGATACGCGACTTCCTACGGTAAAACAGAGGGAAGTTTAATTTCTGACTCCAATATTCATGGATTTCCAAAAGCGACAGCAAAACCTCTCCAATGACACTAAACTAACCAACAATCCAACACATTTCTCCTCCTCCATAAAAAATCACAAAACAATAAATTGTTACATTAAGTACACAACAGCGGCAGCTGCGCCTGTTGCCTGCTGGGAGGAGAGTGTTGTAGAGGATACAAAATAAAACAACCCGGACACGCGACTTTCTATGGTAAAATGGAGGGAAGTTTAATTTCTGACTCCAATATTTATGGATTTCCAAAGGTGACAGTAAATTGAAAAATGACAGTGCCACCTCTCCAATGATACTAAACTAACCAGCAATCCCGCAAATTTCTCCTCCTCCATAAAAAAACTCAAAACAATAAATTACTTACATTAAGTACATAAAAAATTTCGTTACAAAAATATAAACATCAAAAAACTTAAAAAAACGTAAAAAACCAAAACAACAAGAGGGAATGCAGGGGGTTGGAAAGCTGCATGGAACAGGAGGAGGGCGAGCTCAAGAGTGGATACTCTTGGGCATGCACAGGAATTCTTGCACAAGCATTCAAAACTCACCGAGCCATGCTCCACAAATAAACCCAAATTAATTCCAACTGATAAGAAAACCCCAGCTCTGAAAGCATCTCCAGCTGTACCTGAGCTACACAGCTTCAGCTTGCCTGCTTGTGAGGGAAACTTCCTTTCTGCGTCTGCTTGGTGCCACCCAAAAATAAATACTGGACCAACTGTGGTCCAACTTAAAACCCATGTATTTTGAAAAGCTTCCTTTTAAAAAATCCAGCCTGCTATCAGGAGTGGACATTAGAGTCACAGTAACTAGCCATAAACTGCCCACAGAAGGGAGGCAGCAAGGTCTAGGTAAACTGCACAGGATTAGGAAGGTGCTGCAGGAAAATGCCTCTGAATGAGGAGAAAGCAGAGGACAAGCTTCCTCCACATCCCTTCAGGGCCCTGCTCATTACCAGGGAGAGGAACAGTGGGCTTTCCAGAGCCAGGATGAGTTTACAGGATGGGTCACTAAAAGCCTCCCACTGGAAGGTGAGAGTTTCCACTGGGAGCAGCCCTTGTGAAAAGCAGATTCTCTGAAGGAAGGTGGGTAAAACTGGGGAAAGGCAGGCTTCAAACGGAAGCGGGCATTACTGAAAAATAAATAAAAAGCAAGGAAACAACACGAGCATTTGAGAAAATTTCCTACAGGATGCCTTTACACAGCGTCTAAGCCTCGGAAACCTGTCTGCAGTAATGAAAGAAGAATTATTCCAGGGCACAGAAATTCCCTCAGCATCAAGAACACTGGCTGTGTTATACCAGTGTTTGTTTCCCTGAGAAGCCTCAGAGTCCCGACAAGCCCAGAGGTTTAAAATTCATGCTGCTTTTGTTGCCTTCCTGCATGAAGTAATTCCATTGCAGTAATTCTGTTCAGTACATGCTGCACATTGTAATGTCATCAGCGGTGTGTCCATCTGCACTGAAAAGCCTTGCCACAGGAGACAGGGCAGAGTCTCTTGAGATGAACATTGTTAATTAAGAATGAAACCCTTCCCTGTTCCCCTGCCTGCCTGTGCCCTGGCTGCACAGTAAGCCTCACACAGCACAGTGATCCTGAAAGGCTCTCCTCTGCCAAGCAGCTTTGTACTTGTTTGGAATTGCTTGCTGCATTTTCAGATACTTCCTGCCTGCCATCCAAGCAAGGCCTCCCTCCACAGAGCCCCTGTTTCCACGTTTCTGAAACAATCCAAGCTGTCTCAGCTGAAGATACAGCTCTTAAAGTAGGGAGCAGATCTAATTTGCATTTTATTCTTAATTCAGGAGGAAGGCTTTTGTTTTCTGGAGTCAGCATCCCTGCAACAAGATTCAGCACACTTAAATTGCTTTTAATATTTAACAATAGGAACACTTTGCACTTAAATGGTGCTTTTCAGAGTGCTTTCCAAATATTAAATAATTTAAGAATAGTGTTTTCCCACCTCTATGGGATGCCCAGCCCAGAGGATCTTGCAGCAGTCCTCAGACATTAATGTATTAGGGCTCTCAGCAGGCCCTGCCTGACACGCTACCACTGCAGATGAGGACACTGAAATAGGGAGTATAAAAAATTCCCAATTCTTCCCACTGGGATGCCTCTAGCATGGCCACAGCTCCTGCTAAACCAAGCACTTTCTGTGGTGCCCAGGCAGGAGCTGGGCTGGTGTTTGGGAGTTTAGCCCTAAATGACCTGTACTGATGGTGCACCCAAACCCACCTAAATAACCCATCTAAACCAGGAATGCAGTGCTGCGACTGGTGCCCGCAGCCACGGGCCACTCTGCCAGCTGCTGCCAGAAAGACTTCACCCTGGGTTCTGCCCCAGTGCAAATTACCTCCAGAAATGGCTTGATTTCAATGTCAGCCCTGCTTGGAAAGCTGAATTTCTGTAGGCAGAATGCTACAAGGTTAATTTTTCCCCATGATGAGGCATGCATGTTAACCAGATAAGCAGCGTTTGGGGGGGCTCTGTTGCCACCTATTCTTTTTCCATAAGGCCTCCTCCTCTTTTTTAATCTCTTGATGCCAAATGTTGGCTGACTTCCCTGTGTTTGTTTCAGTGCTTACCACTGGGATCACTGGACCTGCCAGCACCACAGGGTTAAGCAGCTCAAATTTCTCTGCTGAGCAGCTTATTCTAACAATGCACACTGTAGCTGTTTAAAACACAGGCTGCTGACACTTAACAGTCACTGGATAGATGCTCTCTCCTTTATTGCTACTTCCAGCCATTAACTGAAGAGATGTGCAACCCAGTTAATACCGAAAGGATTCCAAACTCAGATGAAACAGAACGCAAATTCCATTATTTCAGGGGGTTGCTCTTGTTGCTGGTTTTGCTTTTTTTTTTAGGATCCCTGAGTAGCTTTTAATTTTCTCATGTGATTACAGAAATATCGTGGAATATTTGATTACTTCGGATTCTTTTTGATCTGCTGTAACCAACACCAAGGAATATCTGCAGAAGGAAAATACATGCTAGTCTTCTAGACATATTTTATTCTAATCATATCAAACTGATCTATTAGCTGTTTATCAGAAGTGGCCTGGAAATTTCTGCCCAACAGAAAGCATTTAACTTGCTGGACTGTAAGACACTCCCAGGAAGGACAAATGAACAATGCAGACATGATGGGAATACAGCTTGGCATCAATCAACTGAGCCATGTCCATATTCCAGCTCAAGTTCAGTGTGCTCAGCAGTCCTTTTGCAGACCATTTGCCACAGATCCTACTGAATACAAACTTCTTTTTTTGGCTTCTGGATCCTCAGGCACTACCACAGATTCCTTCAGATATTTTCTCTGAGGCCTCCTAATAGTTGTAAGGCTTTACTAGACGACTTATTACTAGAAGACTTATTTCTTCAACCTGGCCCTCAGCAACCTGGGCTCCATCTGCACCCCTGTCCCCAAAGCCATGCACAATTCCCTCTGGGACACCAGGACCATCTCCTACACAGGATGTGCTGCACAGCTCTTTTTCTTTCTGTTCTTCAGCTCAGCAGAGTTTTCTCTCCTGACCATCATGTGCTACGACCGCTGTGTGTTCATCTGTAAACCCCTGCACTACGGGACCCTCCTGGGCAGCAGAGCTTGTGCCCACATGGCACATTTCTGTAGAAATAAGTTTCACTGGAAAATCTTAAAGCCTTTTTTCTCATGATCAGAGTGGAAATGAGACAGGTGGCTGAGGTGTTGAGTGTAAAACAGAAACAGCAATAGGGTTCCTAAAGCTGCCCAGCCTCCTCCTGGAACACTTTGCTGCGCAGCACAGCTCTCATTTCCTGTTACCAACACCCAACGCTCTCACCAATAAACTACGATAAAGAATGAAGACTTCCCCCTGATTTTGGTTAGTTTTTGGGTGGAACGGGAGTGAGGGAGGTGCCCCACCCGACGTTGAAGTACTGCCTCATCTCCTGGCGCCGGTTGCGCATGATGGCCTTGTACTCGCCGATGCGCAGCTTCTTGCCGTCCACCAGGCACGTGCGCTTGGGCCGCGGCTTGTACTTGTAGTCTGGGTACTTCTCCAGGTGCTGCTTGCTCAGGCGGGCCTGCTCCTCGTAGTATGGCTGCTTCTCTAGGTTTGTCATAGCTTTCCAGCGAGATCCTGCCACCAGAACACAGAAAAATGAGAAAAAACAGAGATGAGATGCCACTCATCCCCAAACGCTGCCAGGCAGGGAAACAAGTAGGTCACCCAGAAGAAGACACCCAAGGCCATTTGGCTTTGGGCTGGGAATCTGTCAGAGCTTCTAGACAGGGTTCTGCTCTTGTTTGTATTTGACTCATAAACCTCCAGGGGACGGCCAAGATGCAGAGAGAGGCGGCACTGGAAATTTTGACCCTGTATTTTACTGAAATTTATCTACTTTACAAAGCCTTTCAGATGGGCAGTAAAAGCGTGATCCTGACAATGGCAACACTGACACTCTGTTCCAGGAAAGAAGGCAGTGTGTTTTGGAGGGATGGACACACAGAGTCTGTTCTGCTGTGGCCCCACACTTTCCCCTGGCCACATGCCTGCTCACAGCTCCTGCTCATGGAAGGCTCCACTCCATGGGCTGCTGTCTGTGATCCACAGCTGGATCAAGGCATCAGATCTGCACAAGTCCACAGCCTCATCCTTCTGACAAACACTGGGTCTTTCTGGCTCCCAGGCTGGTGGTCAGGAGAGGAACTGGCTGGAAATGCTCTGCAGTCAGGTACAGGAGCCTGCAAAGACCCTAAATCAATGCCTTTAAAAGCTATAAACTATCCCAGATGTGTCAGTGGGGTTTTAACTCCAAGACCAAGTCCTGAGAAACACTGCCAGCCCCAACTGAAAGAATTTACTGTGTCATGAAGGGAAAAGCACTGGGCACTGGCATATCTCTCCCAGGAGCTGCACTATGGCTTCATTGCTGGCAGCCCTGTTTTCTGACTATGCTAACCTGGATACTTGAGATAGGGATATAGTAAAGACTTCAAAGTTGTTTTCAACTGCCTGCTGAAAGTTATGAACTAATATTTCTTAAAGGATATAATATGGGAGCAGAAAGTAAAAGTTCGGTAATCAGTTGCCCCATTTTATTTTTCCATTAAATATAGAAGTGCTTCAGGGTAAGATACATTTCAAATAACAGGAATAGTTCAAACTGTGAAACCTGTGGCCTAGAAAGAAAACTTTATTGGAAAATAGTCAAGTTTCCCACTGGAAAAATGTTGGAATAGTTTCTCAGTTTAATGGGTTCATAATGCCATATGCCATACTTGACTTCCTCTTGTTCCTCATTTTTTACGGTCAGCTCATGCTACCCCTCAGGCTGGTCTTATCCCACTGTACCCCCAATACTTGCAGTAGAGGGAGCACAGTTATCCTTTCCCCAGGAAAGGAAACACTTTCATTCCCTCTAGAAAGGCCTGTTCTGATTACTGACACCATTTCCCCATTGGATCTTTATTCCATGCTGCAGTCTGGGCTTCCAGAGAGAAGAGCTGGTACCAGCTGCCCTCACATCCAGAGATAAGCAGTGTAAGAGCAGCGATGTCTTTGTCCTGAGAAGGGGAAAAGATGTGGTGGCCAGAGTATTTAGGGAAAAAAGCCCGAATTCAAAGGCTCTGCAGCACCAAGCACTGCTCCTGTCCTTCAGCTGAGCCAGGGCAGACAGAGCTGTGCCCACACAGCTGTGTGTGACCGGCACCACATCTGGAGAGGGCAAATCCTTGAGTCCAGGGCACAAGAGAGATGCCCTCACCCCTGCCCAGACACTTGTGCTCCAGGCACACACGTGCTGCTTTAAAGCCACGTTTCTCTGACAAGATTTTTCAGCTGTTTGCAATATTCTCTAACTTTCAGTGCATTAGACTGACATTTTTCAATCTGAGTACCTGAATCACGCTGATTTTATGTTTAAAAACATTCTCACACAGAGAAACCCTTGTATGATGTATAGGTATGTGTACACATTTATGTAAACACATGTATACATTCCAAGAGAATTTCTGAAGCTAGTAATTAAATTCATTTTTTTCCTAAAATCTTTACATAGATTTCTCAGTGAAAATAATTAAAATATTTACTGAAAAATCTAAACAATGCATTATTAAATTGACAGGGTCCAGCAGTCCCATTTTAGCACTTTTTTAACAATTTACTAAAAAAACCATTATCCACAAGTTTAAGTTGCAGTGAACAGATGGATGACAAACGTATGCACAGATGAATTTAGTGACAAATCCGTGTATCTCATTTTTATGCTCAAAACATAATACCACAGTGTCAAACATAATCCCTAGAGAATTCTAGTGCTGGGAAGGGCACCTCCTCTCATTTTACTATAAAAATGACCCTGGATTGGTAGAACTCTATCTAAGTTACTCTGAGTGACAACAAGCTCTGTGACCTCAACTGTGTAGCGGTGCTGCTGGAAAAATGGGAAGGAGAAATTGTGGCTTTCTAATAAGGACACCCTAATATCTGGCTGAACTGTGAGATTTAATTGGTCACCCTGTGCCAGTTAACAGACAGCTTCCTGCTGGCTTCAAAAGCCTGGCCTTTTGCAGCTGAGGGAAGAACTTTGTGATGTTTCTGTCAAGAAGGAAGATGCCAGGACATCCCTCACTATTGCACACGTAGAATGAGAAAAAAAAAAAAATCAAATATGATCCTGTAAAGAAATAGAAACATCATCTTTCACTGTCTCAGACCTTGCTTTTCCCCATATCTGGCAGCAAAACAGAGAGTTTGGAGTCAGCTATACTGTCTGTCACCTCAACAGGATCTGTAATGAATTTGCACATTTTACTCCAACTACTGTATATCTAATCAGAAAAAGATGTCTCCATATCTCCCTGATCTAGCGCCAAATAGTAAAAGGTGATTCCTTATGTTAACAATTTCAGCAGAATGGCTTATTAAAACCAGATTTTAGGGTATTATAAAATGCTTAGAAGCCCTTTAAAATGTCAACCAGGATCCCCAGAGACTGCGTAAAATGTCAGCCCAGCTCAAGCGCCTGTTTTAAGCAGAATGAATTAGCAGCGTGCTGTCGGAGGTTGTTATCCAAAACAATCAGTTAAGAGGGAAAACATCAAGCTCCCTTTGTACTTTCTATATGAAAAGGGCCATTCAGAATGATCTTGTAGATTTCTGAGGCTGATTACTTAAAAACAGGTTTAACCAGGTCTACTCTCAATTTAGAACCAGACCAAAACGATTACTGCCCTGTCCTCCGGCTAATCACATCATACACCTCTGACCAGTATAATCACTTTTAACCACTATAAGGTTCTATAGCCATCAACATAGCCAATTTAGCCTTCTAATCCTGTTCCCATAACTAATCTAATCATCTCGTACCACCCTTTAAATCATGGGTTAATATCATCACATCTGCCATCCATGGCAATACATTTTGCTTCTCCAACCAATTTATCTCATTCCCACTTGCCCCCTGCTAACTTTTCATAATACCACTCTAATCAAGGGAAGCCTCAAACCTCTGACCAGTCTAAACCTGGCATATTTACCAGCCCTGCAGCTGGTTAATGCTGCCATCAGAACTGCACTGCATCTCTTGAGCAGCCTGCAAAACCAGTGAGGTCTGCAGCACAGGTAAACACGTCCCCTGCTTAGCCACTGGCCTGAGGGATGCTTAGGACCTGCAGTTGTTTTTATTGGTAAAAATACAATCTCTCTAATTTGGTCACAGATATATTATTTTTCTGCTGAGAAGTAATTCATTGACCTCAATGAGCCTCACTAGTCACCTACTGCATCCTCCAGCACAGCACAGAGGAGTAACTTTGGACAGAACATGGTCCTGAGAATCTGTTCAAACACTGACCAGTTGGAAGAATTTGGCATGAGATTCAGCAGATGATGCTCGAGACAAATATTGATCAGGACGTGAAGAGCAGTCAATATGGAAATCAGGGTTTTTAAAAAATTCTTTTCAATGTACATAGAATGAAGAACCACCAAGTGTAGGAGAAGATCAGGTTTGGGTGATAGCTGGTTGCCTGTGAAATGAATCTAAGTTCACTCTTAATTCTTCTCCAAGGAAAACCCACAAACCCTAATGAAGCAATTTAAAGGGGGTACAGCTCCTTTCAAAAAGAATACAATCTCTACAAGTGGATAAATACTGATTTCCCAATTACATTGTGGGCCCTCAAGCAGCCACCAACAAAGAGTGCATTAAAGCTCTACATTACAGAAATATAAGAACTTTATGACTCCCTCCCCATTAACAGGCTAATCTATATTTAAATAGGAGAATTAATGCTAGAATGAGTAACCAGGTGCACAAATCTGTGGGGCCTGCTGAGATGCATCTGCAGGGCCTGAGAGAACTGACAGATGAACTGGCTAAGCCACTATTGGAGAAGCTTTGGCAGTCTGGTGAAGTTACTGCTCTCTGGAAAAGGAGAAACGTAACCCCCATGTCTAAAAAGGAAATACTGGGAACTACAGGCTTCTCTCCTCCTGGGAAAAACTGCCACAACCTCAGTAATTACAAAGAATATTTCAGTGTGGTTAATCCACACTGCTGGGCACACAGGGGAAGCTCCCATCGCTGTTCTTGGCGCAGTGACTAAAGGGCGAGAGAGAAAAGCAATTCTGTTGGGTCAGGCGCTGGGCTGAGTTTGGTCAGAGCCTTCTCCAGCTGACTTACCTAGGATCTTGCTGATGTTGGAGTTGTGCATGTCGGGGAAGGCCTGCAGGATCTTCCTGCGCTCGTCCTTGGCCCACACCATGAAGGCGTTCATGGGGCGCTTGATGTGCGGCTCGTTGCTGCCGCGCCCGCGCGACTCCCGGTAGATCCGCGACTCCGACACCCCCGCGCTCCCTGCAAGGCAAGGCACACGGGCTGCACTCGTGCTGCCTCTGCCAGCAGCACCCAGCTCAGCTGCTGCACCCAGCTCAGCTGCTGCACGCCCCGTGAGGCAGCGTTCACAACAGGTAATGGTTAATACATTCCATATTGCCTGGTTTAGTTATTCCGTTTATTCAGCATCACACGAGTGATAAGGAGTTTTCATTGCTTTCAAACATAAAGTATTACGCAGCTTTTCTAAGCCATCTTTTCCTGCTTAATTACATTAACAAAATATATACTTATCAAGCAGGTTTACTTTTTATTTTCATCCTTTCTTGCTTACAGAATGCTGGTCATATTGTGTCACCTTTCTTCTATGTTTCTGTCACTGTAGGACACGAAAAAACACCAGCGCACACCGCTGTTCTCAAGGTGAAGGAAAAGGGGAGTTTATTTTTTGACTCTAACATTTATAGTTTTCTAAGAGTGGCAGTGGATTGGAGGGTGACAGTGTCACCTCTCCAGTGACACTGGTCAAACCAACAGTCTATCAACTTTCTCTTCTTCTATAAAGGAATACAAAACAATGAGTTATTTACAGAAAATGTGTGAGAAAGTCCACTACAAGAATGTCAACATCAGAAGGCTTAGAAAATGTTAAAAAACCAGAGTGACACGTTTCTGTGACAGAAAGGGTGTGATAGAGGGCAATACTGGGCATTTCTTCTTAAGCAATTCTCTAACTAGCAAAATTTACATACTTGCCTGTTTTTGCGCTTACATCTCCTTAACAATACATGCAACAGCAGAGAAACAAATAAACATTGTGCTTGCTTCATCAAACCAGTAAAGCCCACACAGATGCAGAGCACACAGCACTTATGGAGGATCAGGCCTACTCTTCATGGCTTCCCTGTGTGATCTCACTTACCCCACATAAATTTGCCTCTTTAGTCTCTTTTATTATCAGAAATACATTTTTGGTCCCATCTTGGGACCTTCAGTGGACAGAGGGAAGGTTAAAAATCATCTCCAGACTAAAAACACCCCGCGATGAATCACTTCCTCCTGCCTTGTTTCACAGCCATTTATTGCTAACAGCTTGTATTCCTCATGAACCTCCAAAGCACTGGATTCTCCCTCAGATCCTGTTGGCACACACACACAAACCCGGAAATCAGGAAAATCATTGGTACTGACCATCAGAATCTCCACTCATGTTGAAATCCATCATTGCGTGGCTGAACTTCCCATCTTCACTCTGCTTTACTGCCAGCTGCTGGGTCAGGGTCTCCAGTGTTGTTTTGTCCTATATGGGCAGAATGACAGGATTTGGAACAGGAAAATAATTAAATGTTGTAACTCCAAAGTTTTCACATTATTTAGGAGGTTTTTAGGGAACCTAGATAACTATACACAAGTGATTACTGAGCCATGTATGAAGAATAAGTAACAATGCTTCTTCTGAAGAGACAGGGTTACAGACTCTACCATAAAGTCCTTTTCAAAGTTTGCTCATTAGCTAGTGATAAGCAAACTCCATAGTGTTGAAAAGATTGGCTTAGTTAGGCACGATAAAACTGGCTGCACATCTGAAGAATACTTCAGCTCTCTGTGTTGCTGGGGCTGCAAAGCTGGCCTGAGGTTTAGGTGACACATGCTCTTTTGCAATGCATTTACTATAGCACTCTATTTCTAGCCTGCAATCCCAGTGCAGAGACATGGATGGCTTTGCTCTGTTTCTTTTTTACAAGGCAGTATTTTAGGAAGCAGCCCATAGGGCAAGAAAAAACACCCTACAGTTCAAACTGACTCAGGCCTTGGGAAAGGTTCAGCCTGAATTAAGCATGATCCTTGGGCAGCAGTTTGTGTTCTTGTCCAGACTGTTTTGTCCAACCCTGCTAACACCCCGTCCATCACTCGTGTGGTCAGAACTAACTGTGAACCCTGGATTGCAACAGGCTGCTGTGTGCTGCCAATTAATCTGTCTAAAGACTGCCAGAACAACATGCTAGGGCAATTCATTCCAACGTCCTCTTCAAAACACCTCGCTCCCCCAGAATTGTTTGACTCTACAAACGCAAAGGTGTTCCATTTTCCAACTGTTTTTGTTTTCCCAATGACTCCTGCTCATGAGCACTCTTTCTTCCTGACAATCATATGTTTAAAAATAAATCTTTCAGGGAAGCAATACTAACATTTCAAAATCTCAGGCACTGTGCCTTTTGCAAAGCTAAGAAAATGAAATGATGTGGCATGATAATGAAGTGGCTCCAGTCGAAAAAATTCTTTTGAGCTTCTTCCTGAAAGAAAAGATTTCTGTTTCCTTGCTCTATTCTACTCCTGTTGGCTGTAAAAGATCAATAAACTAAAAAACTTTCAGTTTCCACATGGCAACTGTTTCATGTAGCCTAATAATGTCACTGGGATGTGTTACACAGGAAAACAGAAAAGAGAACAATGTGAATACAGAATTGCTTCCTGCAAAGTGATGTCCCTGCATCTGCAACTCAAAGAATGGTTCAAATTCAAGTAAATCACTGCACAAAGATTTTTTCAGGAACAGTTAGAAACAAGGCTAATCTGCTCAACTTCGTATTTTCAGAGTTTAGGGAACACGAGGTTAACTCTCCTATTCCTCACATTCATTTTCACTACGAATCCCTTTCACACTCCTGGTGCTTTGTCTACACCCTGACACTTCAGCATGGAAAGCATGCAAGAGGAGTTATCCTCTGGGTTTTTGCAGGAAAAGTTCATGCAGCACACTCAGTCTATCCAAGGAAAAGGGTTTCCATAACACTACCAGGCACAGCAGACCCAGAAAGCTTGGAGAACCCTCAAAAAAGCACCTGAGCTAGTCAAGCATTTAGCTTCACCAAAATCTTTGATCCACCATTTTAAACTCAGCTCTCACTTCCAAAGCAGCTTGTCAGAAGTCAAAAAGTCAGGATGAAGGTGACTTTGTATTTCTTCCAAACTGATTGCGGATATATAATGGAAGTCAACAGTTTTTCCTCAGAAAAAAAAATCTATTTACTGTCAACTTCATAATGCTAGAGTCCTGCAAGGCACAGCCCAGCTATGGCTCTTTGAGAGCCTGACCTAGCCCAGGTTTGGTTCCTTGGTCAGAGCCCGACTCAGCTTGTGAGACAAGCAATTCTAAAAATTAGACAGCAGAAAGCAGCAAAAACAAACAGCAAGGAGCACTCCTGTCCTTCCAGAAGAAACATGAAACTCAGCCATCTCTTGCTAAACTTGAAGGGATTCCAAATTTCTGAATTTTGTATCAGACCTCAGAAGGCTGAAAGACATTTTATAAGTATTTTATTTCTTTATGAAGGATTTCCTAATCATCATTTCTATTGGATTGTAGGAGAGACTGGATCATTTAAAATTTTAATGGGTAAACCAGAGAAGATAATACTGCAGAGAGCATGCAATCTCAAAATAGCCCAATTGTTCAAAGTACAACCAGAGAGGTTTCATCAACAGCCACGACGTGATGAGAAGTTTCTAAAACTTTATTAATCAAAGAAATTAACCTGCCGCAGAAGACTGATCTGTACCACAACTCCTAGAAATGCTCTAATTATATTTAAGAGAACAAAAACACATACACACATGGAGTATGTCATGTAAAAAAAAAATATAAGAAATGACTAAGCACCACAAGTCAGACTCAGTTTTGTGGTCAGCTGCAAAAGTTACTTGGCTCTCTGTCACGGATAGCTGTCGTAGTTTAACAAAACATTGATCTAAAAATGACAAGAACTTGGTTGCAGTCTCTTTCATGGAAGAAACATAAACCAAGAAGAGTCAAAACATATGTAGAACAGCCTGATCTCGTTTGCCAGAACTCCTCCCACTACTAGATGAAAGTGAAGCAAGCCCTTGGAAGGTCTGAGGAACAAAAACATCCTGCTGGCTTTGCCTCTGCCCTCCCTCAGCACCAGGGCTCAGGGGGCACTGGGAGCATCCCACACCTCCATCCAAGGGGTCTGCAGCCCTGAGAGGGCTGGGCACATGGCCTGGGCACATGGCCTGGCTCCCTGCTCCCTCTGGAGCCATCCTGAGAGGGTTGGGCACAAGGCCTGGCTCCCTGCTCCCTCTGGAGCCATCCTGTGAGAGCTGGGCACATGGCCTGGCTCCCTGCTCCCTCTGGAGCCATCCTGTGAGAGCTGGGCACATGGCCTGGCTCCCTGCTCCCTCTGGAGCCATCCTGTGAGAGCTGGGCACATGGCCTGGCTCCCTGCTCCCTCTGGAGCCATCCTGTGAGAGCTGGGCACATGGCCTGGCTCCCTGCTCCCTCTGGAGCCATCCTGTGAGGGTTGGGCACAAGGCCTGGCTCCCTGCTCCCTCTGGAGCCATCCTGTGAGAGCTGGGCACAAGGCCTGGCTCCCTGCTCCCCCTGGAGCCATCCTGTGAGAGCTGGGCACATGGCCTGGCTCCCTGCTCCCTCTGGAGCCATCCTGTGAGAGCTGGGCACATGGCCTGGCTCTCTGCTCCCTCTGGAGCCATCCTGTGAGAGCTGGGCACATGGCCTGGCTCCCTACTCCCTCTGGAGCCATCCTGTGAGAGCTGGGCACATGGCCTGGCTCTCTGCTCCCTCTGGAGCCATCCTGTGAGAGCTGGGCACATGGCCTGGCTCTCTGCTCCCTCTGGAGCCATCCTGAGAGAGCTGGGCACATGGCCTGGCTCTCTGCTCCCTCTGGAGCCATCCTGTGAGAGCTGGGCACATGGCCTGGCTCCCTGCTCCCCCTGGAGCCATCCTGAGAGGGTTGGGCACAAGGCCTGGCTCTCTGCTCCCTCTGGAGCCATCCTGAGAGGGTTGGGCACATGGCCTGGGCACATGGCCTGGCTCTCTGCTCCCCCTGGAGCCATCCCCCAGCCCGGGCTGCCTGGCAATCCCTACAGTGCCCTGGCAGGAGCCATTTCCCCATGGCATATCCAGGCTTGCATTGCCACTGTGCAGGACTCTCCTCTCTGCTGCTCTCCTCACCCTACCCCTGCTTTCTCTGACAGGAATACTTCTCCTCTCTGCTCTGATGCCTGCAGAGAAAGAGCCGGTTCCAGAGGAGGAGTTTGGGACCGTAACTTCACATTCAGGGCCATAACCACACAATGGTTCAGGAGCATAACTTCACATTCCTGCTTTCCACATCCCAAGGGAACTGAAGGGCCAGGCAAAAAGAACCAAACACAGTTACATGGAGACTGCAAGGAGAAGCTTGCTGATCACCTCTTGCACCTAGGAATTCCCCACACACAGATGGACACAGCCTGCTACCTTTGCTCAATGATAATAAACTGAAAAGAAACAGATGGTTGCCTGCTACTGTCCTTTTGTGTGCCTCATTTCTTCCCTTCCCCTCCAACTACAGTTTGTCCTGCTATTTCCCATATCTAAACGCTAAAGGCGGTATGTTCAAATGGATTTGGGTTTTCAGGAGGTAGTTTTTATCTTTGATTGATGAGCAGGACCAGTGACAGCATCTGATGGGGTTTGCGGTACTGAGGCACATCTCCTAGCCCAGCAAGAGCCTGTAAATATCACCCCTTCCAACACATACCCTGCTCAATATGCACCAGATCTTAAGAGTTTTGGGCAGATTAATTGCTATGATTGCACAATAAAAGTTCACTTTATGACAGAAAAACCTACTGAATTGTTAGACAAGGTGGTGGCACAAGGTGTTATCCATTCAACCCTGTGGTATTTTCCTCAGCTCTCTGAGAAGGTGAAGAGTTCTATCTAGCACAAATGAAGACTTTGTAAAGGTAATCTTTGTGTGCAATCCCTCTACCTCTTGTGGTAACAAACATCAGAATAGGCTGAGCTCTAAACTTTCCCCCAGAGCCCCACCAAGTGTGGAGCACACGAGGCAGGCAGGCATGAGGGATGGTGGAGAGCTGGGAGAACTCAGGGAACAGCTGGCAGCAGTGAGAGCTGTGCCCAGAGCTTTGCAAGGATGGATTATCTGCACAGGATGGATTATTTGCACTGCAGGCTCTGCTCCTGCACATGATGGTGCTCCACAACAGGTGCTGTGCCCTCTGCCCAAGCCTTGCTATGGCCCAGATCCTGCCTCACCTCCACCTGCTGCAAGAGAATTTCTGCTTTGACTGTGTCACCAAGTGTTCTTCACTCCTCACTGAATTACCCACAAGATTTCACAAAGAAAGGCAGGATTAGTAACTGCTTACCAGAAGGGAAACTGAGTCACACGTTATGGAACTTGCCAAAGGCTCCTTAGAAAGGCTGATAAACATTTTAGTAACTGAAATTAGCACTCGTGAATCTTCCAC